GGTTCTGGGAGGTGAGACAGACACCTCATGTTCTATGGTGTATGTTCGTGTGTTAACGGTTCCGCCCATTGCTCTGGGTGCGTGGTCTATGGCCCTAGTGCTATGGCAGCCACCTGAGTATTATTATAATACAGGAAACTTTAAATGAAATGGTTCTGTTCTTACGAATGTGTATGTAACAAAACCAGCTATCCATCAACATCAAACTATAGCGAATGTAGATATCATAATCTGTTGCAATCCATTGCCTACCGTAAAAGAAGTTACGTGTGTAGTTGTGTGGGTCAAATGTTCAGCAAATTCTAAACTTTATAGGGGTACAGCACAAGTGTACTAAATTTACGTAACTTCTATGATACACATAAACCCTATCACTCAAAAAAAACTTGCAATAAAAAGGCACAGCATACTGTTTACTGGAAGTGGTAACTTCCTGTCTGTACTGACATACTGAGCATGGAGAATACATTCATTCATGTGGCATGCACTGTCCAAGACAAAAAATATCTGGTAGTACCTGATGCCTGGGCAGTATCACATTGCCACTTTTCAACAAAGCGTGCATATCCAACAATACAGAAAATATGTCATAAAACATGCTTTCAAGAGGTTTTCATACCGGTTCTTTGGTTGTTTGAGCTAAAATCACAATTTCAATAAACTTGATTGCCATTGTACGAATCCTACAGAAAAAAACATTTACTGTAACCACACTGTAGTATCATAATTATCACATGTTGCACTGGCACAAAATTTAACTGGGCAATAATGTTGAGTCCAAACTGTAAGTTATCCTCACAAGAATCACATCACCATGCTTATTGGTTCTTGCTAATAAAACCACAAGACAGTTTATATTCTGCGAACAATAAGGCTGGGAGTCAAAGTCTATACCAGGAATACAGCATAGTACATTAGGGCACACTGTCGCTCATCAGCATACCTATAGTCTTAGTGTTTCAAGGGAATATAAGAGTAGGAAATTCATTGATTATAGAGTGAATGAGGATGTAGGGATATCATGGCATTAAAGAAAGATCCCGACACCAAGAGAGAACTTCATTCATAACCCCAAAACTACATCTTTCCTTATATGCTTTAAGTATACTCTCAACCTCTTCATCTGCATACGTACCTCGATAGAAACAAAGATGGTGAGTGTGGAAGTGCATAAACATGGCACAGATAGCTTTCTTGCAGAAAACAAAGAAAGAGGGATGTACCTTGGTGTAGGTATCTTCCTGTTTTACCTGTTTTACGTGACATGCCTAAATCCTCCTTAATTAAAACTCGGCATGCATACGCAGAAAGTTTACGGAAACTTGGTTTGCACGGTCCTGTCAACTGTGCATCGTACCGCGAGTATAGTAAGCAACTCAACAAAAAAAAGCGGCTTTTTCCAATACTGTTAAACTTATAGTGTGTTTTTCTTACCTTGCCCAGGTTGGCCATTTTGTTATTAATTTTAATGCATGCATTTTCATCGTGCAATGTACATTAGCCTGGGCATTTTGTAGAGAAAAATTAATATTCCACTACTTTTGCCTCAACTCTCTGAAAAACGTAGGGCCATACGGATGCTGCAAGTGCTGGCAAAGTTTTTTACACCACTTAATGCCAAAAGTCAGGATTTATTTTGAGCAAATTCCATGCGTGAGCAAAATATTGTATCCATCAATTTTGCTTCTTTAAAAGAATATCGCTTCAATATTACTCACTGCAGGAACATGGTTCTGAGCCAAGGGGTTTGCACTTCAGTGATTTTCGTTAACTCTCAAAGTGCATGAACAGCAAAAGCACTAGGTTAGTGTATGTGTGACTGCCTTTCTGTCCATCTGCTTGTCTGTTACAACACTTTCTGCCACTGCGCACAACAAGTCAGAAAAACAAGCGATACTAATGGATTCAGCACCACGTTGGCTGGATTTTAAATTTTCATAAAATAGCTGCGTTCAAAAGTTACGTAGTGAAAACCAACTGAACAAGCCAGGATAATTAAAACTCGGCCACAATTTGCCTGATAGCGTACCATAGAGGCATTGGAAGTTACAATGGAGAGCGAATAATAGGTCTTGTGATGCCTAAAGTGCTACGTATTTATAAGTCTAGTCAATGATCATACGTATGCATGAGGTACATTTCTAGTGCATACGCAAGAGGGATACGGAAACACTCTCAGTCAACTCTGCATCACATTGTGCTACAGCCAGACAAAGTAATACCCCATTATTTTCGCCAGTGCGATTATGCTTATTGGCTTTTTAGCTTGTGTAGCGCGGCTCGTCGAAGGGGTTGAATAGATAATACTCACACACTGGACAGTTTACACAGCTAGTTTATATAGGACGGTGACAGATTCTAGAATGTTCTGGAAGGTGTACAGATAGATGTTAGAGCTGTATGAAGACATACAAGTATTTACATCGTGGGTAATTCCGAGTGAAGACAGTTCGGCATCCTTGTGACCTTGTTACATTGCTCCCCCTCCAGAAAAATACGTCCCGTATTTTAATTTTTTTGTGTGAAATGTAGGCACCGTACCAGTCAGGAATAGTTCGATCTCGTCGAGGATAGCGAGCGCCCCGAAGATTGGGATTGCCATGGTGCTTGTGGTGGTGGCTGGGAAGCTCTATGTTGTTGAGACAGTGGTGGGTCAGTGTCGTCATCGTCATCCACTAACTCTGGATCTGGAGCTAAATGAGGTGATGGATGATGAGCTGGGATGAGCTCTGTTGGCGAAGGTTGCCGGTCAGCATTTAGTCTAATTTCAGGTGGGCACAACTTAAGACGGTCAAAGTGGACCACCAGACGTTTCCTACAGTTCTTGAGGGATCTTATGCGATACACTGCATCTGATAGCCGTTTGATGATCTGCCATGGACCTATCCAGGGGTGGTGAAGTTTCTTTGACTGGCCACGCGGCACGACTGGGGAGTGCTACCAAACTTGATCTCCGACTTCGAATGGTTTCCCGTGAACCCTCCGGTCGTAGAACTCTCTTTGTCTAGCATGTTTCATTCCAGTCTTATGTCTTACCAGCTCGTACGCTTTCTCCAGTGTTGCTTTCACTGTTGTGGTGAACTCGCTGTGCGTTGTTGACTCCGGTTGGTGGGTAGGGTATACATGATATCTGCAGGTATACGAGCTTGTCGTCCGAACAGTAAAAAGAACGGCATATATCCGGTCGTTGATTGAATGCTGGTGTTGTATGCAAAGCATACCTTCCGAATGTGGTATTCCCAATCGAAGGGATGTCCTTTAACAGAGGTAGCTAACATGTCAAGAATGGTCCGGTTAAATCGCTCTACCAGTCCATCACATTGCGGGTGGTAAGGTGTAGTGCTGTATACCGAGAGTCTTGCAAACTTCAGCAAGCAGATTTGATTCAAACTGTCGGCCCTGATCGGAGTGCAGTTGCTCAGGGACAGAAAACCTGCAGAACCATTTGATCCACTAGGACTCGGGCCACTGTTGATGCTTCCTGGTTTCGGATGGGATAGGCTTCCATCCATCGAGTGAAATAATCGCCAGCTACCAGTACGTACGAGTTTCCTGACTCTGATTCTGGCAGAGGTCCCACGATGTCAACTGCAATGACCTGCATCGGATATCCAGCACTGATCGTTCCTAACGGTGCTCTGGCTTTTGGGGCTGAGGTCTTCCTTGTTGCACACTTCTGACAAGTACGGCACCAATTGGTCACATCATTCCATTGTCCAGGCCAATAGAAGCGTTCACGCAGACTGGCCATTGTCTTCTCTTGCCCTAGGTGAGCACTGGACACTCCAGCATGCAGCTCGTTCAGAACCTCTTGTCTAAGAGATGATGGAAAACTACCAGCTGTAGGGTATATGACAACCCATTTTCCGCTTCAAACGTTCGCCACAAGACACTGTCCTTCAACTGCAGCTGATCCCATTGCTGGAATAGTCGCCTGGTAGCAGGAGGGTAACTTTGGATCTCTTCAGATTTTGGTCTTTTTCCCGTTTGCTTTGTTTGGATGATAGGTCTGATAGTTGGGTCAGCTAGTTGTGCTTTGAGCAGATCATCAGGTGTTCTCTGGTTGAGGAGGTGGATGGTGTTGACGTGGATCAGATCCTTTCCTCCCGATGACAGAGCTTCCTCTCTTCCACACTGTTGGCAGGGTAGTCGCGATAAGGCATCAGCATTGCCATGCTTCCGACCAGGTCTGTGCTCAATAGTGAAAGTGTACTCCTGTAGCTGTTCAAGCCATCTTGCTAGCTGACCTTCTGCTTCTTTGAAATTTCGAAGCCAGGTAGTGATCCATGATCAGTCGAAGAGTGAAGTGTCACGAGAAGGTCAGGTAAGGACGGAAGTGGCGGATGTAGGTGACTGCTGCGAGTAACTCTTTTCGGGTTACGCAATAATTTCTCTCTGCCTTTGTCAGTACTCTGCTTGCATAGGCTACAACGTGCTCTTTCCCGTAGCTGTCAACTTGTGAGAGAACGGCTCCAATACCAATGTTGCTATCAGTGTCGAGAATAAATGGTTTCTGGAAATCAGGGAATGCTAGCACCGGTGCAGGAGTCGGCGGAGAGCAGTGAAAGACACATGGCATTCGGTAGTCCATTTGAACTCTTTTGTTTTCTCTGTCAGTTGGTGAAGAGGCTCGGCTACTGTTGCGAAATCCTTCACAAAGCGTCGGTAGTAGCTTGCTAGTCCAAGAAATTGGCCAACTTCTTGCGCATTAGTTGGTTCCGGCCATTCTGCTACCTTTTTCGTCTTAGCCGGGTCAGTAGCCACTCCTTCCTCTGATACAATGTGACCCAGCAAGATAACCTGTTTCTGGCAGAGGGCACATTTCCCTGGATGGAGCTTGAGGCCTGCTTCCCTCAGACGGTCAAAGACAAGGGTCAGGTTTCTCAGATGCTCTTCAAAGGTCCGTCCAGGAATAATCACATCGTCGAGGTAGACTAGACAGCTGCTCCACTGAAGACCCGCGAGTACCGCATTCATTAGCCGTTGGAAGGTCGCAGGGGCGTTGCAGAGCCCAAAGGGCATCACCTTAAACTCGAATAATCCTTCCGTCGTGCAGAACGCTGTCTTGTCCATGTCACCTTCACAGACTTCTACCTGCCAATATCCGCTAATCAGATCAAGGGCTGTGAACCACTTCGAGCCAGAGAGGGTAAGGTGTCGTCGACTCTCGGGAGCGGATAGGCATCCTTCCGTGTCACTGCGTTCAATTTGCGGTAGTCGACACATAGCCGCATTGAACCGTATTTCTTCAGGACTAACACGATGGGTGAGGCCCAGGATGGTCGAATGACGTCTTTCTTTAGCATGTCGTCCAGAAGCTTCTTCATCTCTTCTCGTCGCGCAGGAGGGACTCGTCTGACGTGCTGCCGGATAGGTGCTGCCTCTCCGGTGTCAATAGAATGTTTGATTTTACTGGTCCGGCCGAAGTCTGTCTTGTTTCGAGCAAAGATATCTCCATATGATAGCAGCAACTCGTAGAGGTATTCTTTCTGAGTGTTGTCTAGGCTGTCATTCCCCTCCACCATGCTCCACAATTTAGCCTCCACGTCCGTCGAGTTTTCGGCTGGCTGGTCCTGTACAGTGGCCACTGTACTGTCGACGATTTCAGCTTTTCCGAGCGTCTCGAGGTGAGCAATTCTTGTCCCTTGGTACATGGTGACTGGGTCTGCTCCAAGGTTAAGTA